TATGGACATCCACGATGAAGCAGGAGGCCGTCGATCTCCGAGGAAGTTATGGCGAAGATTGAACATAATATCCCGCCAATGGCGATCTGGGAACAGGCGGTTGAAATTTCTGAGGCTCCTGGTAAAGCTGAGACGGGCAAACCAAAATCGTCTTAGGGGAAAACTCTGCAAAGCGTAAGACTGCACCACGACAATGCTCATCCTCATGTTTCACAACAAATGAAGGACTGAATCGAGCGGTTTGGCTGGGAAGTCATTGCCCATTCCCCTTACAGCCCTGACATAGCGTTTCCTAAATTGAAAGAGCAGTTACCTTTGTATACTTGGCAACTTAAAAAGCAATAATTTTCAACTGAGTTTTTGAGCATCGGGGATGGCCAGTATTAGGGCTTTTCAGAGACTAAGTTACGTATAGCTCAAATATCTTTATAAATAACTAGGTGACGCACCGCATATGCGACGGATGCTGAATTGCCGGGGTTGAAAGTGTATAATATACTTACATCAAAAAATTGCGATTCACCCATACTCACCCCTTTACAACCCCCGCCTCCAAACTTTTTACCCCCAACTAATTTTTCGAAAACAATGAGCATCCTTTGAGGCGTTAAAACGCCAAGTGTAAGCGATTTTTTTTTGCGTTTTTCTCCTCTGCCACTAGACCGATTTTCTAAAACTTTAAAGCCTTTTCGTTCTTGGCATAGTAGCAACGTTGTGTAAAATTTTCATCCAAAACCGAGCAGTACTTGCCAAGTTATAGGCGTACAGACCGACCAAACGAGTGACAGGTTCCTCGTCATGCACGTCATATACCATCCAAGACACGTACTACCTCAATTTTTAATTTTTTTGCGATTACAATACTTCCCCGCCAGTAGGCGTGGATCAAACGAGTGGAGTCCAATTGGCATATCGGGAGATCAGAGGATCACCGGCCGCCAGTCGAGGTTTTGTCACATATTACTGGTATATCTCTCATCTAAGCCGCAACCGAACAAAATAGTTGGAGCATGAGCTCTCCAAACATGTGAACTATACTCCAAACCGGGTCTTATCTTTGTATTATACAGAGTATCAGAGAAATAATATTCGTAACTTCAAGAGGTGATTCCTTGCATTATTCTAAGCAAAAAGTTCCTTATAAGCTATGTCCGAAAATCAACCGTTTCGGAGCAAAAAAATGCTGAACTTATTTCTTTTTAGTCATGAAAATTAACTTTGCAGCCTAATAATTTAAATTCATATGCCTAATAGCGTACAGCGTAAAATGTATATCTATTAATTAACTGTCTCTAACAAAATAATTTTCTTGCTTATTAAATACAATTTTCCGAAAAAAACAGACAAACAAAATCCCTAACACAACTGGCAACGTCGTACTCCGCCTGCACTGCAGATATCATCGCGACGGACATCGTCTCGGTAGGCAAACAATAAATACCTACATCGGAAAAAAATTATTTGATAGTTTCTTGGATAAGTTAATGCCAGTAATATTCACCCGAATTGAAATCAGATTTTATTATTCAGTATGTATTACTGTATCAGTGCGTGCAGTTTGATATGAAAGAGATGTTTTCTGTACGCGAGTATCACGATATGCTTATTATTGACGGAGAGGCTCATTGCAATTAGCTAGAAGAACATTCGTAGAAGTATCCTAAAGACTTCTGGACACAGGGAGCGTAGTGCCTATTTTTAACAATCGCGGAAGGCATCGTGGATTTGGAGTGAAAACCGAAGAACACCTATTGTGATTACTAATACATTTAACTGTAACTTTGTGATTTGCGGATGTTTTTCTTTCTTTTTTCGTGCATCGCATCGCTTCAAACAAGTGATTGATAATCGTGGGAATCGGTGGTGTGTATCGCCACGTACCGGTAAGTACTGTCATTTTTTTTAAGTAATTGTACTGTACTAAAAGCGTTATTAACTAAAAGATATCAGCCACAAGAAATTGCGAAAAAACATTCAATAATTGAAGGCATATTTTCAACAGAAATATCATACACACGTAAACAATTCGATGAATCAGTTGCGTTGCAGCGTTGCCAAACGTTTGAGAAAATTTAATTATCTACTTTCATCGAAAACGATTGATTTTCGGACATAAGTTATAGTGAACTTTTTTACTTAGCATACTCGTAATGCAATGAATCACCTATTAAAGTTACGAATATTATTTCCCTAAGACCCTGTATAGAGGGTGTTACTTAATGATATGCGAATATTTAAGGGTGTGAATCTACATGAAAAATTAATGTTAGTTTGCTTTATAAACGATGGTCCACAAATGTTTCCTTACAAAAACTCGGGGTGTTGAAGTTTTAGGAAAAAATGGAAATTGATTAATGTTTTCAGAACCGCTTCAGATATTTCACTGATATTTAGTACGTAGTGGAAGTTAATGAAGTTGCATATTTTTCAGTGCAAAAACAATTCATAGCTTTAGCAGTGGCGTACGAACGGGTATTGACTATTGAATTCCCTGTTCAATTTAAAATAAATGATCTCTCTTGAATTGTTTTCCTTCGATGCGCCATTTTTGAGTAAAAAAATAAAAACCGTCCTATTGTCTAACTTCCAAAATTAATATTAATTTAATTGGAAAAATTAAACACATTAGGGGTCATGAACAACATGAACATAACATTAAAACCAACGAAGTGATTACAAAAATTGTTGAAAATGGCCCCCTTCACTCAGTATGCATGCTTCCACCCTCCTTCTCATGGAGCTGAGCACTCTTTGAAATATCCCTGGAGAGTATTTCATTCATCACAAGCTGCAACTATTCTTTCTCTTAATTACTCTTCAGTGTTAATGGGACTTGTGTACACTAGTGTCTTAAGACAGCCCGACAAAAAGAAATCTAAGCTGTTAAGGTCTTGGGACCTTGGTGGCCATTCTTGGGGCCCACCGCGGCCAATCCAACCATTTGGATGAACGGTTTGTAAATAATTACGAGCCGCTACACTGAAATGCGCTGGTGCACCATCATGCATGTACCACATATTATTTCTTATTACTAACAGAACATCATCTAGCAGCAAAGGCAACTGTTGTTGAAGAAAATTGAGGTAAGTCTGTAAATCAAGTCTCCCCGGCAAAAAGAATGGGCCAGTAAAGTGGTCGCCAATAATTCCTGCCCATACGTTAACCGAAAATTGCTGTTGGAAATGGGTTTCGGTTACGGCATATGGATTTTCTTCTGCCCACAAATGATTATTGTGGAAACTCTGAATGACATTTCGAGGAAAATTAGATTCGTCCGTGAACAGAATCATTGATTTAAATTGCGGATTTTGTGGAACTTTTTGGAGATACCACTGACAAAAGGTCACACGCCTTGGAAAATCAATGGGAAGTAATGCCTGTACTCTTGAAATATGGTAACGATATAACAAAAAATCCACTAAAATTCTCCAAACAATTTGATATTTAAGTGTCTAGCGATCTTCGTCGTACTCGTTTCAGGATGTTCTTCGACTTCGTGCAGCACTGCTTCCTCAATTTCAGGTGTTCTCACACTTCTCTACCTTCAGATGTTTCTTTTCGGACAGAACCAGTTTCAAAAAGGCGTCGATACATACAGGGTGACTTCGAAGTTGAATCATTTATTTTAACAGTGAGTAGATCTGATCAAAAGAAATGTTTTTTCCTTTACCACTTTTCTGGTAAAATTAAAGTAACAATGTTATAGCCCTTTGGAAGTTTGAGTAGGTACCGCCCTGTCTCAATAATAATATTATGTGCTCGTGTTTGGCGACAACGGATATAATTCACCTTATCGGTTCATCGCATCAGAAACAAAAAAGCGAAAGAATTTGGAACGATGTTTTTACAATTATTTCATTCAGTTGTATACAGTCAGTGTCAGTCGGTAGTGGATAGTGGTGTCTGTTGCGTGGCTCAAACGAAATAAAAAATGGCACATTTTTATGCGGATCGGTTTCCCAATCGAGTGCAACCAACCCCTCGTGCCTTTGTTAATGTAGTACAACGGGTTCGTGAATCATTTGACTTAAGACCTTACATATGGACGGCATGCCGGTGCTCCAAGACCTCACGATCAAATACAGGTCCGCACTGAAATACTTGTCGGGAGGATACTTTATAAAACAAGGTAAAATTTTTTTTCATTTTTTTTCATTTTTACACACATATTTTGGTTTATCTTCCTTCTACAATCACTATCTGAAAATTAATGACTCAACTTCAAAGTCACCCTGTATAAGGGAAGGTTCGACTATCTGGCAAAGCACGATCGGGATATCTCTGGTGATAAATCCATCTGGCCTGCTCACCATGACCGTCGGCAAGGTCATATACGTAATGCATTTCCGCCATTTCTGCATTTGAATAATTCATCATTATTAACAAGATTGTAAAAACTAAATAATGAAACAGATGTCACAGCGAACAGATTTGAATAAGAGGGATTTATCAGATGTCATAAACCAGTGACATATTTCAGAGCAACTAGATATTTATTGCTAAATTGCATTCTTCAATTATTACATTAATTTTCTCGGGCAATAGAACGGTGTTAATTTTTTTACTCAAAAATGGCGCATCGAAGGAAAACAATTCAAGATAGATCATTTGTTTTAAATTGAACGGGGAATTCAAAAATAATTTTTATTTGGCAAAAAACCGATGGCGTCACGCCACTGTTTAAGCTAAAAATTATTTTTGCATTGACAAATATGCAACTTTATTAACATTCACTACGTACTAAATATCAGTGAAATACCTGAAGCGGTTCTGAAAATATTAATTAATTTCCATTTTTTTTCCTAAAACTTCAACACCTCGAGTTTTTGTAAGGAAGCATTTTTGGACCATAGTTTATAAAACAAACTACCATTAATTTTTCATGTAGATTCACACCCTTAAATATTCGCACATCATTAAGGAACACCCTGTATAACAGCTTTTCTGAAGAACTCGAAATTCATGGAAATTCTCTGAAAGCTCCTCGATGACACACAATTCTCCGAGATGTTAAATCCTTTTGAGTGGACATTGAGCATAACACACATCACACTTACTCATTTGTTTCTGTCCTGAAATATGCGCCTGTGTGGTTCAAAGCCTTATACGGGAGAGTAATGTTAAACATTCCATGCATGTTGGCCAACTCTTTATAGTCGACTGTGGCATGCATAACTGATCGATCTTCTGGATAAAATCCGTCACATCTAAAAAAGACAGTACATGATATTATTCAGAGCATTACAGGATGTCAATAGTTCACTTGAATCGAGTTTTTTTGCAATTCACAACTTTGCCAAAGGACATTTTTCAAGTAACAATCGTCTTGTGGTGGTTTCTGGAAATTTTATTTATGAATATATCACTAAAATTTGAATAATTTAAATTTTTAATTCATAAACATCGAATATTTGATTAGTTTTCAGTGCATGTGTGTACAATATCAAATGGTGATCGCATCCACCATATTTATAAATCCAGACTCGGGGTCGGAAGGTGACCATTAACGCCTTCTGAGATCATCACTCTCTACAAAATATATTAAGAATAAATATTAACTTACGTGATATTGTGTCTTTCCCCAGTGGCGATATAGGAAAGCTGAGCGACAGCCATCCGCTTATCGTCAAACTTTGGTGTTTTTAATTTATAGATTAGATCCAGGTTTTTCTCGGACATCCTGAGATTGGCAAAGTTGTTGAAGTTTCTACCATCCCATTGCACTTCAACGTTTCCTGTTAAGTTTTGTTTGTCTTTGATTGAAATCTGGAAAGGAGAGGAGCAATCGGATGAAATTTTATTCCCAATGCTAACAAAAGCCGTATTCCGCACGCGTTTCAATGGAAAAAGGACATCATTTATTCATCGGAAATAAGGTTGCATGTAGGTGAGAGATTTTTAATTGGTACGTTTACTTTCTACGTATAATTTGAGAATATACAGGGTAACCGATATGAACTGACTGCTTTGTATCTTGAATATTTCTGAAATGAAATAAAATACGTCCATTTTTTTCATCTGAATATCTTACTGAATCGTAGAAGATATGTAAAATAATATGAGACAAATGGCCGCCTCTAGAAGCCGCGCAAATCCGAACCCTCTTAGTTATTTTCCGTCACATTTTTGTTGGTTTCGGGAGGAATATTTTCAATCGTTTCTGTAATATTGTTCTTCGGCTGCTCTACAGTATTTCGACATAAGCCCTATTTTCCAAAAATCCCCATAAAAATGGCCACTTGACATCACTAAATCGAGAAATCAAACGTCCCGGAAATATTGTTCGCAAAACATTCATTGCTTTGCACCATATCACGGTAGCAGTCGCCAGTGACAGTGAGAGAATTACCTGCAGTGTCTTCCAAGACAATGGCATCTCCATACCAAACACAGCATCAACACGAGGGTTCTCTAATGCCCCGATATGACAATTCTGTTTATTAATAAATCCGTTCATACCCAAGTGGGCTTCATCGTTCATTATGAGTTGTCGGTAAAAATTGTTATTTTGGGTATTAAAGTGCAATGTTGCATAACTATATTGTTGGCGACTTTCATGGTCAGTAGGCTGTAGTTCTTGGGTTAACTGAATTTTATATGGTCGCAAATGCAAGTCTTTTTTAAAATGGTGCATAATGATATGCTACGAATACCCAGTTCTTGACAACGATGTCTGGTAGACGCCTCAGGGCGCTCCACTACACTTTCACAAAGTCTCTCGATATTTTACGAGTACGAACAGTTCGAGCACGGCCGGACCTTGGCAAGGCTTTAACTTCACCTGCTTGTCCCAATTTCCGCACCAACGGACGAATGGTGTTGACACTGGGCACATTATTTCGACCAAAATATTGACGTAGCTTCTGAATCCTTGCAACAATCGACTCATTATTTAAGTAAACCGTTTTAACAATACGGATGCGTTGTGGGGTCGTGTAGCGTTATACGATTAATTGGACACATGTGCTTTCCATGTACAGTCCCATAAAGGGCGCTACTAGAAATTGGATTTTGAACAGATAGAATTTTTTACACCTAAGCACTGAACAACATCGAGCATACATGATGTAGTCAGGGCGGCAGCACCCCAAACATGTGAGCAATACTCGAGGCTAGATCTTATCTGGTCCTTGTACAGAGTGAGAAGGTCATGTGGAGAAAAGCACAACAACTAGCCAGGCCTTTTACCAGCAGCTGCCGCTATTGTCGAGATGTGTTCGAGCGAGATCAAGTCCTCGGTGATCTGGACTCCGACCAGCTGCAATGAACAGCTCTTTGGCAGAACTTGGCCATCCATCGAAACCGGATGAGCGCTCTTTGTTCGTTAAGGTCAGTACCGTGTTTGGAAACAACAAGCTGTACAATTGTCTTCTTTTTTCCAGCTCACCAGTAGATATCGGCTTGTCGCTCTGTATTTCTGCATGTAGAGTGCTGTCATCAGCAAAACTGTGGATTGGCTTGATGGTACAGAAAATGAGGTCGTAAAAGGAAAAATGTCGAAGCAAAGATTGAACCTTAGGGAACATCCGCGTTGACGTTGTGGGATGAAGATTGCGATTGATATCTTTAATGAAATGAATAAGAATTTACAAAATATAATGATACAAATCAATCCAAAAAGCAGGCCCTGGGCTACTCTAACTTAACTTGGTAATCAGATGATACTATCACTATGTGCAAAATAAGAATCTGGTTATGTCTGCAAGTCTAGTAATGGGTTGTACTTTTCATTTTGTTTACGCAAAAGTGATTTCATTTCAAAGAGTTGTAAAACTTGACCACATTGTATACAACACTTTGCTGTTTAATGACTAGGAATACCGAATTTATCTTTATTTCTAGTATTTAAGGATTATATGCTATAATTTGTTTCTATTTTATTTTTAAGCGATTTTGTAATAAATTTTTGACATTCATAATATCGTTGAAAAAAGTACCCCCTTCGTCGGAGAAGAAAAGCAAAAGACGAAAAAACAAAAAACGCTTCGTTTTTTCGACGTTTTAGAGCATTGATTCCCAAAGTGGTCTATATCGACCCCTAGGGGTCTATGACAACCTGCAAGGGGTCTACTTCAGCGAAAAAAAATTTGGGGGTCCATGAAATGAATATGGGGGTCCACGATAGAGGATCACAACACATACACTGATAGTACCTATTTACTTACATCATACTATCTTATAATATCAAAACATATACATTATTTATAAAAGTACCTATGAAGTAAAACATTTATTATATATGTTTATAAAATTGTGTAAGTTGTAGGATGTTGGTATTCGCTTTGTGGTCGCAATACATTTTGAACTTGTAAAAACCTGAGAGTCGCAGTCTCAGAGCTTCGCTACCTTGCGCTGACTTGTTCAATTCGTCACTCTATAAATACGAATGTGGGACAAATACGTTTATTCGTTTCCTGAATCTTGAAAAGGAAAGTGCTAAGAAAATGTTTTAAAAAATATAAACAGATAGTATATCACACAAATTATAGTGAGTCAGTGTTATTTTGTTTGAGAGTGCTGGAGAAAAGTAAGTACATTATTTTTTATTAAATTTTAGTTTTGTACTCGTAGTTAGCAAAGATAGATAAATTACGCCAATCATGACTTTAGTTATTAGTAGTTAAATATTCAAAATTACACGAGTACTCCTCAATAGTTCCTTTTTGAAAGTTTTAGCAATCGGTAATATAATTACAGTGCAATCTCCGTAATTCGAGCTAATTGTTGCTTGAAGATGTTCGAATTATGGAATGTTTTCGGAAAAATCAAAAAATATTTTTAATATACAGCTGCTGGATTTTCTGTCTTATCTAAATAATTTAATTTTGCCCACAAATGACTGATGCCATGTCCGAATCTAAAAAGAAATGTAGACAGTACAGTGTTGATTATCAGAAATTTGGCTTCATTCCATCATTGCCGGACAAACAATCGCCTATGTGCCTTTTATGCAACAAAGTTTTGGGCAATGACGCTATGAAACCATCTAAACTTCAAGATCATCTGAGAAGATGCCACCCTGATAAAACAGATTTGAAATACTTTCAAACACTCAAAGATACATTTCAGAAGAGACCTACACTGGACAGAATGTTCGCTACGACGTCACAAAGAAATGATGATGGTTTGCGGGTGTCTTACAATATCTCGTTACTTATAGCAAAATCCGGAAAACCGCATACTATCGGAGAGAAGTTAATTTTGCCAGCCGTTGAAGAGGTTTTAAAAACTGTTTTACACAAACCTGCATCTGATATCATTAAAAGAATTCCCTTAAGCAACAATACTGTTGAAAGACGTATTGATGTAATGAGTTCTGATATTGAAAGCTTCTTATGTAATTATTTGCGAACGACCCATTTCTCTATACAACCGGACGAGTCAAATTTACCTGATAATGCAGCATTATTATTGGCATATGTTCGTTTTATTATGAATCAAGAAATCTACGAAGAACTGCTATTCGCAAGAACTTTGATAACCGACACTAAAGGTGAATTAATATTTCATGTTTTGAAGGATTACTTCATTGAAAAAGCAATTCCTTTATCAAATATAATATCAGTAGCTACAGATGGAGCACCTGCCATGGTTGGACGTTATCGTGGATTTATAAGCTATTTAAAACAAAATGTGTCAGGGGTGTTAGCAATACATTGCGTCATCCATCGACAACACTTAGTTGCTAAAAATTTAGATTGCATTAATCACTTCACTTAGTCATTGATGCAGTAAACCGAATCCGAAGCAACACGTTGAATACGCGGTTATTTGCGCAGTTGTGTGAATAAAATGACGAACACTTTCATCAATTACTCCTTTACACTGAAGTACGCTGGCTGTCGAAAGGCTTATGTTTGACAAGATTTTTTGCACTTTTTGAGACTATTTTAGAATTTCTGGATACTAAAGATAAAATTTTAAAAGAAAATTTAATGAAGAGGAAAACAGACATCGCCTATTTAACAGATTTTTTTACAAAATTTAATATGGTTAATTTGCAATTACAAAGTCCATCTTATCAGTGTTTCTTGCCAGAGTTAAACTAATGAAGCAAAATATTGGACGGGGAATTTTCTCAGTTCCCCAATTTGTCACAGACAAGCTGCCAGGAAGACGACGTTTCAACTTACGTTCAACATTTAAATGCCCTCTATTCAGATTTTGAATCTAGGTTTGAGGATATTTTGACTATGGTAATACCACCGTGGATAATTAATCCATGTGGTGACATAGAGGAAACGAATGTCATAATACAAGAGGAACTGACTGAACTAAGTACAAACGAAGAACTTAAGGTTCAGTTTAAAAACGGATATCAGCAATTCTGGCTGCAAAACAACATAGCCGTTACTTATCCCGTATTATGGAATATAGCGAGGAAATTTTTAATTTCCTTTCCATCGTTATACCTAGTGGAAAAAGAAACAGACTGGACATCATTAGCCGAGGAGATTTAAGATTAACCCTTACAAAATGGACGCCAAATGTTGATAATTTATTATTAAAGCATCAGGTTCATCCTTCTCACTAAAAATATTGACTTGTTGCTTATGTTATTTTATTTATAGTTTACTTTATGTTTATTGGCGTCTGGCCAATAAATGCCCGCATTGGGGAATAAGTGCCCGCATTGATTTTTTTAAAGAACCCCCTTTTATAGAAAATATTTTTTTTTAAATTATTCTGAAAATTCAAGGATAGGTACACACTAAAATTCGTTCATTTTTTGCATATTTTTAGATAACTTAAACGTATAAGAAGCGGAATTTAATCAAACTAACAGTGAAATTATTGTAGAACATACGTTTATGTTATAGTTAATAAACAAACTCGCTTATTGTACTATTTTAAGTAAAAAACTTTTTTTTATTATTTTTCACTTTTTTTTTTTATTTTATCCGTCTTATTTTTTTTTCAATGCGGGCACTTATTCCCAATCCGGGCACTTATTGGTCAGACACCTGTTTATTTAATGTTACATATATTTTACATAACAGATACAAAATTTTATTTTTAGTAGTTTTAATTTAAATTCAATTAATAAATGTATAAATTAGCATGTGTTTTTACTTTAAGTTTTTAACACTAAACTTCACTACAGTTAGAAATTTACAGGAAATCAATATCAGGTAAGTAGGGCGTCTACCCAACACGGAAAAACATGGCAAGGGGTCTACGACACAAAAAAGTTTGGGGAACTCTATTTTAGAGGATCCTGATCACTTTCAGATATCATTCCAGATAGACCTATAGACGGACCTCATGTTCCTCGCCAATGGTGTGGAGAGTAAAAATGCGAATTGCTAAATTTTTAGCTGTGTAATTTTCTTACGCCATAAAATAATAAAAATCCTAAAAAGATTCCGAATTGGAGACTCAATTGTTCATGAGTCACCCAATAATCACACTAAATATAATTGTATCCTCAATAACTTCAAAGATATTGATGTAACTTTAAAGGGCGTCCCTTTAAAGGGTCGAAGTCCCTTCAGGGTACGTATAAATTAGATTACATTAAAGCAAGGGGCTGGCATACAAGCCTAACGTCATAGCCACCCATATGTATCTATTGAAGCTTCTTGTTTACACTGCCTCAAGCACTGTATCCAACTTTAATCCTTTAATCAGACTCCACATATTTGACAAGGCTTTGCACGTAGCTTTCTGCTTTTGGTAATGTGGCTTCAAATGTTTAACACCTAAGCTTTGCCAGGGCTTCGAAGTGATACAGGATTTGACCTGGGGTTTCCTCGTGCTTTTTGTAAAACGACATGTAGTCTCTTCTTCTAAATGTCTGTTAGCAGTCGCTCCATGGCCCTTATGGCCTTCCTATTGAGTCTGTAAATCTGGACGTTTGGTTTCTGCCCTGACACCACCTTTCATCACATCAACAACAAGTCTGAGCCTTATCAAAGAAAATAACCTATTTTTCACTGTAACTGTTGCGACTGACGATTTGTGTTCGTGATCTGAATTTGATTGTTTGAGGCGGCTTGGCTGACTTCATATCCAAGAAAAATCCTTTGAGGCGCAACTGATACAGTTTCTCTGGTGAAATTGCCTTCTGATTAAACTTCGTCATTCATTGTCCGAAACAATAAAAGTGGATGTACTTAATGCGGGACGATCAAAGGTAAGGGGGCCGAACTCATCAAAACTTTTTTCCATGTCATTAAAACTTCGGGCATGATACTTAAAAACCACAGAACTTTCTTTAAACGAAACGAAAATGCACCGTATCCGTTTAAGACAAGTCTTTATTCACCATTTCAAAGCAATACGGAAGAAGTTAATATGTTAATATCAAAAAAGTTGGTAAATTCACATTGGCAAAGAAGGGGGAGTAGAAGATATAATTGTATAACGAAAAATGTATGGCGTTTTCAAAGTAGGGACTTTATACAGCTCTTGTAAAAATAAGCAAGCTTTCGTAGTATCACACAAACCAGTCTTAAGATCCGAGCTATTTACAGGCTTCTTGGGAATTGAATGTCATTTCATGAACGATCTTTTGTTGGATTTTAGACAAACAATAACGCGTTCTTGAAGAACGTTCAAAGAATGATTTTTGGAGATTTTTAAAATCTTGGAAATTCTAAATTATTATATCGAGTATTTTTAAGATTTTGCAAACTTTTAATATTTTGGGAATTTTGTAAATTGAAAATTTTGAAAGCTTAAAATCTTTGAGATTTAAAAAATCTAAACGTCATAACATTTTGAAAATGCTGGAAATTTCGGAAATTTTGAGAATCATTAAGATTTTGAAAAGTAAAAATTATCAAAAGTGGATATTTGAAAATTTTTAAAATTCTGAAAATTTGTAATAGGTATGTTGAAAATTTGGAAAATTTTGAAGATTTTGTGAATTTAGGGAATTTTGAACATTTTGAAAATCACGAATTTTTTAAATTAATGAATATTTTTGTCGAACATCGTGAATATTTTTAAAATTCTATACACTGAAAATTTTTTAAGCTTGAAATTTTTAAAATCTTGGAGATTGAAAAAAAATAAATTTAGAAAATTTAGAAAATTTTGTGAATTTCGAAAATTTCGAAAATTTTGATAAATTAGAAATGTTTGAGACTTGAAGATTTTGAATATTTTGGAAAATTCAAGTATTTTGGGAATTTTGAGAATTTCGGTACTTTAAATAAAAAATGTTTGAAAATGTTCAATTTTGAACAGTCTCAAGATCATTCCTCATGGAATTTCTGAAAACATGGCCCCTCCAAGACAACCTACACCTTGTAGGTAAATGAACCGTATGTTTATAAATCGGATTTGAAAAAATGAAAATGGCACGCTCCTATAGCAATAACAGACTTGTCGATCTGATGTTAGTTTACAACATAATATGTCTATCATAAGATAATCTATTTACCTGTCCCCACGTTCCATATTTCTTCTGCGATTCCAGGGTTCTATATTTTGCCAAGTAATCTACATATTTGAAGCCATCTGAATATTCCAGCTCTGTGTATAAGCTATGAGTTTCTTTGTCGCCATATGGAGTCTTTAAGTGTCCTTCAAAGCCAAGCGTCTTGTTGGGAGGCATATTGACGGTTATATTTGATGCAGCCCTAAAAACATAGATTCAAATTTGAATTCCACCTTTGGAATATCACTGATACGCAAATATACATTTGCTTCAAAAATAGAAAACTTACTCCCATATTTTATCAACGGCTATGTCACCTCCAACCTTGAGATGCTGGAAAGCCTTGCCAGGATTTTCGTAGAACGCCACTACCGATGTCTTGCTGCTATAATGTACATTTTCGAATTGTCCAATCGCCTTCACTGCCATATTCTCCATGACTAGCCAGACTATATTTAACCCTAGGCTACCTTTAGCTTGGGTAGTTCTAGGACTTACGTTGATAATTTCGAAGAAACCATACGCATTCCTGTTCAGGCCGCTGACGCTGCAAAAAACAACTTTCAAATTCATATTCGTTTCTTAGGCCTTCTTATTTTACGACACCTTATTTACCTTGTCACTTGGGAGTGACAGGAGAGTTGTCACTTACCCAAGATATGAGGACTCCTCACTACCTTCGTCAATCATTAATTCACAAAAAGCAGTTAGGTAAAGCCCTACATTCCTTAATGAGAATGGTGGAAGAAAGAAGTATTGAAGTTAGGTAATCTCTTAGATAAAACAAAGCCGTCTTCCTCATTAAGGAATATATTTGATAACTTCCCTGTCACTCATGTGTGTAAAGACTGTCAAGGCAAATAAGTCGTCCTTAGAATGAGGAGGCATCAAGTTGAGGAACGGTTATTCCAGTTATTTAGTATAAAACCTAATAAACACATAAGAAAGACTCATGTTCAACTTTCAAAAGGTTGGTCATGCCTTGGCACTTCCTTATTCCTACACCAGTCTGGATATCTTCCACATTCCTTCGAGATCCTACTGAAAAAATTCTTTATCGAAAAAGTAATTGTGAACGTACATGAAAGAGCTACTTTCAACAAAATTTAGTTCATGTTTTTGGCCTTCCTTGTTGCTACATCAATTTGAAACTCTATTCACTTTCCTTTAAATTCCTTGGTCTCTTGTTGGAAATTTATTTATTGAAAAACGTTAAGGTGGCTATTCATATGAAAGTCTTGTTATTAACTTTCCTTATTTCTCCATGAATTGGGGTATCTACCCACGTTTCTTTGAAACTGTCTTGATGAAGTTTTGACTTTTTCATCAAGAAAGCGCCTCAAGATAATGCATATGAAAGACGGAAGTGAACAATTTTAAAACAATTATTGTTTACAAAATCCACGATACGGTGACTTCAAGAGCATAAACAGTCTGAAAAAAGGGAGACAGGGTTCTTTTCTTTTCCGTTTGATAAGCTACCTTGAAGCTTTAAGCTGTCATGAACAGCAAAAGAGACCTGAGTAATTAGAATTTAATTTTTATTTGCCTTGTTCTAAAGTTAGGAAGCTTTACTGATGACGCTTGAGGGTATCTGTAAAATTAATTCCATTTAGCCAGCCGATCGAGTGAAAACTCTAGTTCCAAACACTTCCAAACTTTCTGGCTATATTTTAAATATAGATGCCTCCCACCGAAACGTAATGATTACTGTTACTTGTAAATTCTTTTTTACGGCCGTCTCTCTAGTTTCTGTCGATAAAAGAAGTACTCCTAGAAGAATAAACTTTTACTGTATAAGGGCCGAAGACATAGTCGTTATCTATGGACGCCTTACTTGCCTTGACACTCTTAACATATGGGAGTGACAGCATAGCTGTCAAATATGTGTCAAAGGGAGAAGGAGGCCTTGTTCGACATTACTCCAGTATTTTTTTCTCAGGAAACGTAGAGGTTTGGCAATTTATGTCTATAGAGTGCGAAACAAGTATCATCCTACTCGAGGCCATTTTTTGATATTCGACATCTGTGAAAGATTGAGAAACCTCGAATCTGGAAATGCAACAGACCAAAATCTGTGAGTTGACATAAACATACCTCAGTCCAAAAGTTGATAGTTTGCGAGATACAGGGTGTCAAAGATACAATTTTATTTTCTATTTTTCCTTATTGCTTGAGAAGTTTTTGAGATTTTGGCATAAAACTATGGTGAGATTTTCTAGTATCAGAAACAAGAAACCGTTATTTTTATGGCCAAAATTCCAGAGAGCGCCACTTACAGCACTATTTAGGTAAATAACTTATAATAACTTTTTTGTGCTACCTTGTATACAACAACTGACTAAAAAATATTATTTTCTCGTATTTCCACAACAAAAAAGGTTCACTTGTTATAAGTATCTAAAGCTAATAGTTTTCGAGATATTTGTTTTTAAAAGTTCCAGTGCATTATTTGTACCATGATAAAACGTTTTTCTAACATAATAAACAAGTTGCTTTGGATAATATCTGAGTAGCGTTGCTATGGTTTCTAGTGTTTGTCATAATATTGCATCAAACTTCATGAATAATTTTATGTTGACAATAAGTTGTTGAACATTATGGAGTATACGTTTGATGGATATTCTGATATGCATTTAATGAACGAATTGGCAAGATGTAATGCTTTAAAAGCACGAAGATTGTACGCTGACAAGTTCCCTAAAGACACCTGGATAATTCATCGACTTTCCAATGAATCGATCAGCGGTTACGAGAAACTGGTAAGAAATGATCATAGCCTTATTTAAAGTAGTAATGACCATTTGGTATTTTATGCAGTTTTGCTCAAAATATGGGCCAACATAGTGGAGCTCCCAGAACTGTACGTACAGCTGTCGTTGAAGAAAATGTTTTAGATGCTGTCTTTGATCCTACAGTTGGGGTTAGGAATGTAGCTCGATAATTTCAAGTTTCCAAAAGTACACTAAATACCATTTGTGGCAGCAGGAACTCGTAAAGGCCACAAAACTTGGCATTACGAACATGCCGACTGGGTGGGGCTCAGAGACCTGTTCTCTAGCTTTCCTTGGAGAGATGTCTGTTTCACTGACGCGGATGCGTCGGCTGTCTGTTCTTCGGTAACATAAATTATCCATGTGGGAATGGAGGAATACATCCCTCGCACAGTGAAAGTGCCTAAACCAGGGTCCAACGGCTGGTTTAACAAATCGTGTGACACTGCTCGCCAGCAGAAGATCAAGGCACACAGAACCTTCTTACAAAACCCCACTGTAGAGAACAGACAAGCCGACGTCGAGTCCAGAAACAAATGTAATGAAGCGGTTTGCAGTGCCAAAAACCAGCACGATATAGAAGTTAGGCACAGGGTAATGTCGCAGCGCAATGGCAGTCGGTCTTTCTGGACGCTGGCCAAACAGATTGAAAAGAACTTCTCACACAGTAGCCTCCACATGTCTGGATGGAACTATTGCATTCGACTCAAGGGCCAAGGCGGAAGTGCTAGCCAAGATATTTGCTGCCAACTCCACCATAGACGTCCCCCCCAACGCCAAGTGCCGTCAATTCAAAGGGTTCCCTACACTATGCGGGAGGTAACATGGTGATGGAGAGGTGCATAAATCGCGAGCTTCTGGACTACCTCGAACGTCACATCTTGATTAGCGACAAGCAGTATGGTTTCTGGCACCAACGACCACATGGGACCTCCTAGCTTACGTCAATTGTGGAGTAAACTCATCCAGTCTTATGGTGAGGCTCTTGTCGTTGCTCTTGACATCACGAAAGCGTGCGATCAGCTGTGGCACGCTACCCTCTAAAGCAAACTTCAATCCTATGGCCTCCCAGAAAAGCATTGCAGATGGGTAGCTGACTTTATCTCTGGCCGCAAGATATCCGTCGTAATTGAGGAGTTCTCCTCTTCATCCCACAACGTCAACGCGGGTGTTCCCCAGAGATCGGTCTTGGCTCGGACACTGTTACTCTTACATATCAACGACCTCCTTTCCTGCACGATCAGGCATCAGACCGCACGACGAGCCTTCTTGTCGCTCGACATCAACAAAGCTCCTGGTCCGGACTTGAATCCTGCCATTGTACTGAAGAGGCGTGCAGCGGAGCTTGCTCTAGTTCTTTCGCGTCTCTTCCAGATATCTTATGAATCCGGCACGTTCCCAGAAAACTGGAAATTTGCTCATGTCCAACCCATCCCAAAAAAAGCATCTAAGACCGACCCTTACATGGAACAATCTACAAGAGGAAGCTTTTCCCAGTTCTACTAGCCTCAGGCAGTTCAAATGTCATATTAACAAAATTTCTTTGGGATCATCATAGCAGCCGCGGTGTTCCTGCATTTAGGCTAATGCTAATATATAAAAAAAAACTTTTCAAGAGCAACTGCTCCATCCATACCACCGGCGAAAAGTACGTGGTTTAAGCGCGGAAGGTGATCCCGCAAGGGTAGAATTTTGTACAAATAATGCATTGGAACTTTTAAAAACAAATATCTCGAAAACTGTTAGCTTTAGACACAAATATAAGGATTCTGGTTTTTCATACTAGAAAACCTTCCAATACTGAGTTTTATGCCAAAATCTGAAATACTTCTCAAGCAATAACTTTGACACCCTGTATCTCGCAAACTATCATTTTTGGACAAGGATATGTTTAGGTCAATTCACATATTCTGGTCTGTAGCATCTCCAGTTTCGAGTTTTCCCAACCTTCCGTAGACAGCCTTCCGTATATCACTCTCAAGTGAAAAGGCAAATAAGACCTCTTTTAATAAGGAAGTCTCGGGAGAGGATCCGCTCTTTAAAAAACGTATAAATTAAAAAAGTTAATTTCCTTACGTGTAGTTGGCACCAGCGATGACGTTTTCTAGCTTGAATATGGGTGTTGTCATATCTAAACTGAGGTTCACGTTGTCACCTTCCGAAATAACTTTTGTATTGATATGAAAGTGGCCCCCGGTTGATGTTATTATCTACAAAAGGACAAATTACACAGAAAAAAATCTCAACTTAGTTAATAAAATCACTTACTGCAGTATATATTTCCCAGTTCAGCTTATCTAACGAGTACGCCACGTCGGACTCATAAGTAACATATCTGTCACTTTGTGATAAACCACCTTTAAACTTATATTTATTCGAAGCTAATTTATTGACTTGGAAGTTAAATTCTATCTCTGGGCTTTCATCTTCAGGATTCAGTTGGATGAACACCTTAGATGGTAGCAAAAGCTTCACTGAATCTTCGGATAGCTCTGCGTAACCGGCTATGATAAAAACTTTTTCTTTCAACTTCATATGGCCGTCAAATTCATAGTAATCATCTGCAATGCTTATGTAGTTGCCATAAGCCTTTCTTTTTTCGGGTTGTATTATCTTGCAGGTGATCAACAACGGGAATCTAGAAATAAATTGAAAGTTGTGTTTAAGTTAAAACTTTTAAAAAGTTACTTTGTATGTACATGGTGAGTTTTCAGCATAGGCTTTGTTACGCTTGGTATCTAGACAAGTTAATCCCAAAAATTATAGACAAAAGTATGCTTCTTACTTGGAAAATATCGATATTTCTACAGGGTGATTCATAACTGCGTAGTAACCTTAACATACGTTTTATTAAATGGAATGCCTCACATTTTAATGCAGATTTGGATAACCAATTTGATATAGGTATCATGCTGTAAGGTTTTACCTTCAAATTATTTAACTATCCTAAAACTACATAAAATGTGTAGACTTCAACAGATAAGAGCATAAAACCAATGAAGCTCCTTAGCTTACATCTCGTCGATGTAACAAGTACTTAGATACGTTCAGCGTAGATAGGTAATGGGTTTGGGGAAGAGAGGAGTTTTTGCATACCTTTTGCCATTGAAATTTAAGTCAGACGCAACATTAAGGATGCTGTTCTGCAAGGTGGAGTTGATCTCGACTTCTAATGGATTCAACTGAATGGCACTCCAGAGCGTCGACTGTTCGTCAGATATATAAATTTTTATACCAGCAGTTGTATTTTCCAAACCATTGAATGGAGTTTCCAGCTTTACCATAGAGTAAAAATCTTTCCTCGATTTTATTAACCAGGATGCCCTTATGTATACCTGGAAAAGAGTTAATGATTTAACTGGAAAAAAGATCGTGTACAGGATATCCCGCGATTTTTGCGGAACACAAAAAATAGTATGAAGAATTTCTATAGGAGAAATGCACTCAAGGGCAAATAAAACAGAACTTCCAATTAAAACTGTTTTCTTTGAATGATATTTTGTATTCAGTTAGACATAGAGCATGTAGTGATCAAATTTTTAATTAAAAACTGTATACTGCACTATCAGTGCTTTTTGTAAATTCCTTCTAAAATCTGCGGTGCCAAATGAACGTTAATCAATATGTTGAACATGACCCTATGGTTGGCTTAAAGCCCAATCTCATGCATACACCTCCCCTAATATAATCAAGACGGTCAATTTTTGGGCCAAACTATCGGAAGTTGACACTAATAGATCAACTTAAAGACTCGAGTGCAGAAATCAACTTACATAGGGCGATAGGCCAGTCAATCAAATAATAGCAATTTAGTTGATTTTTTGTTTCGTAAGAATTCAAACCAGCTCAAAGGGAGAATAAATATTTCAAAATAATCAATTTTGATTGAAATGTCTGTCGAACGAATTATCAGATCCCAATCTCGAGATCATTGTTGAGTTCCTTGGGCAATTTTACTCTGGGATAGTTATATATATATATACATATATATATATATAGGTGAAAAATTAAAGCTTCCGCCTTTTGTTGGGTACTTTGACAAAAATTTTAAGCAAAGAGGACTCTTTATTACTTTTTTATTCTCTCTAGCTTTCAATGGACTTTGCCATCATCATCAGGAGCTGCAATTACATTGATAACAGTAGCAACAATAGTGTAAAATGAATTAACTTAACTTACAGTAGTATGTGAGGATGTTGCTAATTGTTGTTTACGTTCAGGATGGTCAAAATTATATAAAATATATTGTATATATATATATATATATATATATATATATATATATATATATATATATATATATATATATTGTACCATTTATCCAGCTTTCACCATGTTACTAGGTGTTTCCCTCATCCTGAACGTAAACAACAATTAGCAACATCCTCACATACTACTGTAAGTTAAGTTAATTTAAATTCATTTTACAATATCGTTGCTACTGTTATCAATGTAATTGCAACTCCTGATGATGATGGAAAAGTCCATTGAAAGCTAGAGAGAATAAAAAAGTATAAAGAGGCCTCTTTGCTTAAAATTTTTGTCGAAGTACCCAACAAAAGGCGGAAGCTTTAATTTTTCACCTAACTGGTCTAGACGACAATGACCACGTCTCAAGTTATATATATATATTTCCTTTTGCAACAAAGTAGCCGCCCAGGCAGGAGCCTAAGTGCCAGGGCGCTGAGAACCCCAGAGAAACATTGTTGATACGATTTTTGAACTGCCCAAGGTTAGCAGAACTGAGAAAAGTCTAATCTTGTAGACTGTTCGACAATCTCGACATCCTATGGACAAAGGAGCAATCATATCGGCCAGCTCTGCAAGTACGAAGTTCGACACGGTTAGGATGGGAGGCCGGAGTTTGGCAGGTCTGTCTTACAGGCCCGTCACGCGGCGACATCATGGAGGAGAGCTCTGAGGGGCAAAGTCCATTGGCTTAGAGGTAGAAAAGAGCTAGATCGCTAGTGCGAAAGGGTCCCTAAACTGTCCGTTAATCGATCTGTCGAACAGCATCGAGCAAGGGTATTGTAGTCGGGGATTCAGCACCCCAAGCATGTGAGCAATACTCGAGGCTGGCTCTAATCTGGAGAAGGTCATGTGTAGAAAAGTACTTCTCATCTATAAACAAATAGCCTAGCCTTTTCCCAGCAGCTGCCCCTATTGATGGTGTGTCAACATTAGTCCAAGAACGGATGACATTTGTTTGTGTGCAATTTGTATGATGTCACATCATGGCGGACAGTATTTTTACCGTTTCGTATTATATTTTAAATTGGACCTATATATCCATCTTGCGCTTTTAAAATTTGAAACCGACATATTTTGTTACCCTAAGCCAAAGAAATACTCGTTTGTTCTATAAAATTATATATCAATCAATATATAGTCAAGTAGCCTATTACAATTTTTGAACGCGTGGATAACTGAACCTCATGTACTGGATAAATCGACATAATCGGAATCAATCTTTGACGATGAGACTGACATGGGGTCCCTGACAAACTTAAAGAATTTATTCCTTAGAGCATATTTTGACTTACCTCTTTCCTCAGCTTCTCTGGCATATCCAGATTCACTTCAACAAAGTTGCTGTTAAGTGATGTCAATTTGCTTATCCTGAGTTGACTATTCGGAACGTAAACTATCGGAGTTTTGACATGAAAGTTAGAATTCAGTTCTAACATACTGCTATCAATCTGTAATCAAAATATAAAGATTTAGAAATTTTGAGAATGGAAAATTCATTTACGATGCCCGTCCAAATAAATACTGATACTTAAACGAATAAGGTCCCAGCAGGCAGGCACCCCATTCCGTCCGCAAGGGCTGCAATTTTTTGCACTGTGAGCTCTTTGGATGGAAAACATGCCTTCCATATTCAATCCAAATCTTCGAGGGTGAATCTCTATGCTCCGCACCTGATGCCCTTGCACATACTTACTTGATGAATATTCACAGTAAAACAACCTTAGTAGGCTATGTTAGCAAAATATTAATATTATATGTCAAATTATTTTGACGTTATGTGCTTTTTGATTCAAGTGTGGCGAGAATTCTAATAGAAATGGTTCAGCAAAGAACTGTAATGAAATGCAAAAAATGGCGTCAAGTAGGTTGACTCCAAATCAAAGAGTTGGTCCATAGACAACCTTTACCTGTCCTAAAGGTAGTACTGTCTATCTGGCAACGTTCTCCTTAGGGCTCTATTCTAGCGCCTGTGCTATTCAATTTATAGTTAAATGACCTTGAGTACTATTTCTCTGAAGGTAGATTTATTTTATAGGCAGATGATACTTTAGTGGTGATATCAGGATATGACGCTACCTTAGAGAGAGAGATAGTAGAGTCTTACTGCAAACTATCCACAAGTGGCTAAGCAGCAATCAGCGCTAAACATCAATTGTCCAAGTCCATAACATTCAGAATAAACCTAAGGCATTAAATATTACTTCTAATGGCTCAATATCCCTTAGCATGCAAGTAAAAATCTTGCGATTGTATATAGAGACGGGTTTAAATTTTAAAGACCGCTGTGTACATAATCCTTCAAAGATATACTCCCAATCATATCTTATGAAAAATTTGCGAACGGTCCTTGCTGAAGCACAGATAGCTTCTGTTTACTATGCTAAAGTTGAGACATGACCGAGGTGTGCACTATGCTTCTGGTGTTTGCCCACAAATGCTCAGCAAGTATTTTTGGTCCAGAAAAGAGTGGTTAGATGTATGATAGGAGTCAGTAATAAGCATTCTTGTAAGAGTATTTTTAAGCGTATTGAGATTTTAACTTTACCATCAACAAAAGTAACAGATAACAGCAGAAGTCTGATAGATGTGGTATTCGTAAGGTATTCAAAGGCGGGAGAGGGTATTTGATCATATTAAAAATATTCAATGGCTTACTATGTGACAAAGGTGGATACTGCATCTATTATCATTGGTCCACAGATTCTGATAAATAAAATGCCTCTTTATTTGAAGAACAAGCTTACCATGAGATGTGATCATCACTCAGCGAACCTGCGTTTTGTAGGATATAGTCTTGACCTGCCTCGGCACCGAACAACCCAATTCAGAAAGAGCTTTTCATATGTGGCGCCCGATTTCTACAATAAAGTACCTCAAGCTTTGAAAACTCTATCTGTGGCCAGCTTTAAAAGACAAGTTAGGCTCTTTGTCTTTGATGACATGTAGCATGTATTTTTATATTTTTTTATTTGTGCATGTTTTCTCACTTGTCACTTTTCATTTGTTTGTGTTCTGTTTACGAATTGGTAACTGTTTACTTTTAATTTTTATATCTTCCGCCATATACCTAATATTTTCTTTTTTTAAAGTTACTTCTAAGCATGGTTTTTGATTCTGCTAGGTACTCTATTGATGCACGTTTCTCTTTTGGTTTTTTGGTCATTATACCATGCATAGGCTACGATTCTGTAAAACAATTTTGTTTCTGCTTTAAATTTTCTTATTATGTTCAGTGTATTTTTTTGTATTTGCATGTACTTGAATTTTTTTTTAGCCCTGGTTGGTTCTGAAAAACAGCTTGTGCTGATGTAACCCGCCAGGTAAAATAAAGGCCATTCATTATTATTACTATTATCTTTATTTTTGTATTCACAAAAATAGGTCTTTGAACAATTTTAACTCGTACTCGAGCAGGCAAGCTGAATACTTTTTTCAATAGGCTACCAAATCACATCAAAAATGTTGAAGCTAAATTGACTGAATTTCTTGTGAGTGAATTTTATTATGCCGTCTCTGAGTTTGTTACTTTATGATGTATTTGTATTTGAATCCGAATTTGAACGTCGCTTCTGTCTATACCGTACATCACTATATTTACACCCACTCTACCTTGAATTTAGATGAATTATAGTTAGCTGTGAAAATACAAGTTACAATTCTTTTCTGTAGCGTAACCAGGAAACCAATTACCTATATACATATATTCCTTGGGAAGATCGTATTGTTATCGCCCCATGTTCGTAAAATCTTCCGGGGACAAAAACCCTTACCATTTATCTTTCTGCAGACACTTTTGATACTCAAAATTTTTCTTACCGAATCTTGTCGGACTCAGGAATCTCTTAACCCTATAAGGAGAAAGTTTTTACCGTGGGAATAATTTATTGACGTTTCTCGAGGAAAACGTATTGATCTCTCAGCTGGATAAACGCTTAGACGGGGCGAAACCTTCGCATTCGAGGGATAAATTTCTCAATTCGATTTGTTTTTAATAATCTCGTTTTGATATCCATCCGCCCATCAGCATCAATCAAGAGGTGGTGGACCTATTACTCGATGCATATTTATTCATTTTTATTACTTACTGTGCCAAACCTGGCGAGAAAGTATTGTAATTGCGAAAAATTTTGAAATTGAGATGCTACTTTTTCTTCTTATTTTTGACGTTTCAGAGAATCCTGATCATCTTCTTTGAAAAATCCAACGAAGGGGTAGGAAGTATAGAGTCAATCTACTTGACGCCATATTTTTATAAAATATGTTTTCGCTCCTTTTGAGATTTTCTGATTCATTATGATGAAAAAACTCCCTATTGACTTTTCTCGGAAATCGGCAAGGCCTACAGTTTTCCCACACCCCATAGCGCATTTCTTAACAACACAGATGCTAACCTATGAACTAGAATAGTGAATAATAAATATATGGAATATAGGTAATTGTATAGCGAAGTGTTTGTACCGCCATGTGGCTAGCAAAATACGTTGGTAGCACTGTCATTTTCCCAACTTACCTTGAAAGTAAAATAAAGTCATTTGAAAGCAATTATTGTATTGCTGGATATGACTCAAAAAATGTATCAAATCTGGCCCATTTCTGGAAACCAATGAATGTAGTGACTCTGGTGGTAGTACCAATGCAGTCAATTTGATCTTTCCACTGACGAAACATAATCCAGAGGCTTTATTTTTAAACTTGAAAGCCTTGCAAAGTGGACAAAGTTCATTATCGAATAGCAAACATTTTTTTTGCTTCTCGTTGCGAGTTCTGCGAGCTAGGTTGGTACGTCTAATTGGTGGCATTTTGAAGAATCACAATTTTAATATATAAGGCGTAATAACGATGAACTAACTTCCACCATTGTTAATTATTTTTGAACAAATTCTTCCCAAAATACTCACTGAACGAACACTCAAAACCGGATAAAATCTCTAATCGAATGGACTGTGCACTACTAATAAAATAAAACAATATTTTTTTTCATCGATAAACACTGTTAAACGATAATATGAATTTGCGGCGTGCGAGCTGTCAAGTTCAAAATGATGAGTAGTGAAAGTCAATTAAGCAAAACAACCGTATTTTCATCCGCCCTTTTTATTCATAGAGTTAACTCACAACGATAACAATTATGTAACACTGCAAGGGGCCATCACAAACTACGGGTGGTAAGGAAATGTAAGTCCAAAAACGAAAGCGCCGTGTTTTCATAAGCAATTTTCCCTCACATAGCTAACTGTCAATAGCTGTTGGAATGAAGGTGGCGGAGAGGAGTGCCGTTCTCTTTTAGTAACTGATATTTTTTCTCTTGTGCGTGCTCCATGTCCAAGCAAACTGTCAAACGCACGTAGCTTAAATAATCATTAGGGTTTCAATGATTTCCCAATTTTCTGCGCAATTTTCTTGATTTTTCTTTCCGTAAGAGCCTTCTATACATCATAAGGAAAAAGATGAATGAAATCGGTAAAGCTGTTCACTAGTTATGGCGTGACCACGCGAAATAGGTATTCATTTTTACATATATAGATTAGATAACAATGCTTTAAAATGAAATACGGAAAGATTTGAACTTCATTGCAGACACATTGCAACCTGGGTAAATCTACTTGACGAAATATTCAGATAATCATCATAAACAGAGTAACACAAATCAAAGGTCAGGCGGAATGGGTGCATTAAAGTAGCATAAAATTCAGAAAATATCAAAAATAAAATAATCCAACAAGTTAAGCACCTTGACTCCATTTTTCTAGCTCTAAGTATGAACTATTTCAAGTCTTATTTCGTAGACGAAACCTTTACTCGCAACTGAAATATATTAAGTGAGACAAATCGTTGTAGGTGAGAGCCTGGCGAAAAAATTGTATGCGAAACTCACCAGTAATAACGAAGTTAAATGAGTTTTTCACTTGGTTCTTTTTCATCCACCAAATAGCTGATTTATGACTTGGAACAATAGAGGCCGACTAACGACGTATTGTGGTGTAAATGACAAGTATGTTTCAGAATTAAGCTCCCGCTATCATTGAATAGGGGTTGTATCAACCAAACGCTCCTCATTGTTGTTAAAATACGGTCAATTCACACTGACCCTTTACCTACCTAGCATTCTAAGAGGGGCATTTAAGTATACCGGGCGATTTAAATAAGAGTCTCATTTCAAATATCCTTTACCTAACTTTGTTGTAATTGATTAAATTTAGTAAGTCCAGTGGCGTCTCGAGCGGGATCTGAACGAACGTTTGTGACAAAGAAATGTACACTACTGACTTTTGTGTAATTTTTATTATGTTTTTTTGGATTAAGCAAATAGAAATACAACTTTTTTGTCTTTTGAGCTTTTCTCGTATTTTGCTTACTATTCGAGAAAATTGCATATCCCTGGACCATACAAGGAATATGGGGAAAGGTTTCTTTTGGAAATTCTTTTTTCATATATATATTTTATTACTAATTATGTAACAACAATAACGAATCCTAAATAACATTAAGGCAGCAGCGGTGGCCGCAGTGGTAGACGCTTGCGCCTTGCGCTGCGAGGGTTCGAATCCCGTCCCAAGAAAAATTTTTCACTTGGCTATGGATGTTGTGATTGTCTGTAGGTGGTAGACAGTATCTGGCTGTCGTACGCGGAGGTACC